TCCTTTCTTGCACTTTCAGCTTTCTCAATTTCTTTTTTTTTCACTTTATATTACTTTGTATTAGTTATTAACTTTAAAAAAAAAACTTTAATAAAATTATATTTTTAAAAAAAGCAAACAAAAATTGTGCTGCTTTTGAGAATGGAGAGAATTCAACTCCTCAAGGATCCCATAACAGAGATTTCAGTGGAAGAAGCAATCAGCTGCAGTAACCTTCTTTCATTTGGTGGGGAGGCTATTGAAGTGTAGGTAGTGATAACTAATAATACACTGATTATATTTAGCCACCTATCAAAATGTATATACATCCCAACAGACAGAATATATCATGAAGAAATTGTATATCTTTTTAAAATAAGCAACACTACAAAACCAGAAAAATGTAGGCAGATTCATTAGATAAAAGCACCCTGGGGGAAAAAAAAAAGAATTGCATCTACTGTTATGTGAACAGACTTCTGCTTCTGCGACATAAATATATGTTGCTGACTTCCAGAGCAGGCTGGAAAGAGAGAAGTGTTGGGAGAAAATCCTGTCCATTTGCTAATGGACATAACTAAGTATGACCTAGAGAGGTTAAGGTACAAATTCAACTCTTACCTTGTGTTTCTAAATTGATAATTATGCTCTCTAGATGGCCCCGCTACTTATATGTGCTAACAGTTCCATTCTTGGAGTCTGAGTATTCAGCTGAAACCTGTATACCAGTTAAATCTATGAGGATAGAGACCAGTGAATGGAAACTTATGTATTTGGGATCTATGCATTTAAGCTTACCATTGCTAATTTCCAAGCTGAACATATGAATATTAGGGGTAGTAGTAATGACGTAATGACCAAGTATTAAATGAGCAGCAGCAACTACTAAATCAAGGGCACAGCCATCAGGACAGAGCAGCATTTCCTTTAATGAACAAATGCCTAAGCTATATGTGTAATGAATGATGCAGAGTTCTAATGACATCATTTCTGTTGTCATGGAAGGAATAAGTTGGCCCCATGCCACTTATACTTTAGAGCTTTAATCTATGCTACTTTCCTACTGGGTCTGATGTGGTGAAGAAAAACTGCAAAAAAGCCTATCCTCTTGGAGTTACAGTGTAGCTACTCATTATTGTCCTTACTTTGAAAAGAGGCAGTTCCTCTTTTGGTGCTCAGCATAACTATGGACTGGGGAGAAGTCCACAGTTCCTCCAACTAGAGCTTCAATGATTACTTCAGACTGTGCACCATTACAGTTCCTAAGTTTAGAGGGTTGATGAAGTCATAAGACAGTTATCTCAGTGTACAAGACTGACCCCAATGCTTTTAGTGAATGCCTGGAATTCATCTTTGCTTCCCTTCCTCAAGTAAGGCATAGCCTATCCTCCTTCTTGCTTCTTTTCCTCAAATCCTAAATCAATGTATAGGAAAGCCAGCTGCATTTATTTTATTTTTTTTGCTCAAGCAGATTTGCTGTGAATAGCAGAAAGGAGTACCAACATACCTTTTAAACTTGTAGATTAAAAAAACAGCCAAGCCAACAAAGACCACCGAGAGCAGCATCAGCATTGCAGAGCTGCTATGTCCAGCACCAGGATCAACAAGAGGCGCTGAGAGGTAGAAAAAGATCATATTATACAGTAAGACGAAGTCATTAAATGTAGAGATGGGGAGAGGATGCATCTGTCTCATGCCTTTGCTGTTGCTAAGTTATTATCATTAACAAGAGAAAAGGCAGCGTGTGTGTGTGTGTGTGTGTGTATGTGCATGTGGACAGGGGTGGGGTGGGGGATCAGTACTATTCTCTTGGAACTTCAAGGTATGTGTGTGTGTGTGTGTATAAAATAAATAAGTAAGTAAGTAAATAAATAAATAAATAGGGAACAGGGAACAGGGAATATTTGCAAAGAAGTCAAGACAATCCTTTTCAGATACGTCTTTAAACAGGATTAACCATGACTTTGGCTGTAGTTTTTACTGCTAGGCAGGAAAAAATCTTCATTCTTTTCTACTAGTTCTCATTCAATTTGATGAAAGAGAATTTGCTTTCAAATGTCCACAGCTATGCATTTGATTTTGAAAAGCCATTTGTGCCCAGATCTAATTGCTTTTTTTCCCCCTAAATTTTAATATGAAGTCACCAGGAGTTGAGATCAACTTGAAGAACACTTTATATTTTCCCTTTATAAAAACTGTTAGTTGCCTTGATTGCTTCCTTTGCATAGAAAGGCAAATAAAAATCCTGTGTTTTCTGTGCTTCTCTTGCTAGGTTGCAAAAATAAATTATGGTTAGGTTTGGTTGAAGGACAAAGAACTGGAGAAACAAATCTCTTGTTATATGCCACAGTCATCTTTATGTAAATCTAAATAGATTATTTCATTCCTACTGAACATCTATGCTGTCAGCACCAGACTAAGCTTTTTTTAAAAAAATAACTCTATCTTTGAATCAGTTACTCAATTCTTTTGTCCCCCAAGTAAACCTAGATTTATGAGTGGGGAATGGTTGGATTTCTCAAGCAGATCTCTTTTCATTTCCTTTCAGCTGAAACATATCTAAGTGGATTCTACTTAAATCAGCCTTCACCTACCTAGTGCCATTAAAAGGTATTAGATTCAGCTCCCAGAATACCCAACCAGCTTTTCTGAATCTTTACTAAAAGTACAGTACCAACCTGTCCAAGAACAATGCCGAAGATCAATGTAATAGCTCTCTTCAATGTTTACTTTCTTTCCAGAAGAACATAAGCTAATCATAAGATATCACCTTGTGTTACCTAGATCTTTTCTCCTGCACCAACTTACCTAATGTTAGCTGAGTGACATAAACAATTATTTCCACACCAGGCTTCAACTCAAATTGAACCAGGTTCTGATTTAGAGCACTGAAGAGGATTTCAACAGCCTGAGGAGGAGTGGAGGAAAACACAATTAAATATTGATAAACAACGGCAATTAATAATAATTCTCACTGGCATATAATGTGTTTAACGGCAAAGTCGTTCACCACATGCTACTTCTAAAATCCAAACTATATCATTCACACACTCAGAATAATCCCAAAATATGAAGAAGTTAAGAAAGAGAGAAAAAAAATTCTGGAAGAAAAGCAAATGGAATAGAGAACAGAGTGGCAGAAAAATGCTTCTCATTGCACCTACTGTACATTGCAATTTTTAAAATTACCAAGTTATTGTTGCTATATTATTTACAGTATCAATCACAGAAATATATTTTTAAGATTGCATTTAGCACAAACTAGGGTTGCAGCAGATTTAGTTCCAATTGTAATTCTCTTTTTCTCTTTTTTTCCACTTATACACACTTACCTATATATCTGTGCACACACACACACAGACACAAAAGAATATGGTTTGGTAATAGAACATGTGCTTGGCTTGGCTTTCAGAAAAACCCAAGTTCAATGCCCAAACTCTTCTGAGACAGCTAAAAAAAAAAACTACAGAAAAGTATGGGCTTGTTAAAAGGGAATTTCCTAAGCTTATAACTTTTGAATTTACACATAAGGTGCTTACACATAACTGTGCTTACACATAAGGCGCTTACACATAACTGATAGAGATTTAATAGCCTTCTTAGGGGGAGAAGGGCATTTTAACCACTGTAGATTAAGGATTAAGTCAGTAATTTAAGTAGTTGTTAAGAGCTAGTGTGGCATAGTGGTTAAAGGGTTAGACTAGAAACAGAGATACCTAGCTTTAGGTCTACCTGTGTCAGGCCTAGCCCAAGGAACTCCAAGAGACAATGCAAATTCAGTCCAGCTATGTTTA